GGTGGGGTGTTCAAACGCCCCCCCCCCCCCCTCCAGCAGGGCGCGGGTTAACAAAAAACTTGTGGTTAAATTTGGACAAGAAACGAAGTAAACACACATGATTTGCCCCCCCCCCCATATCTTGATTTTTTTACGTAAGGTATTCAAAATTTGGCACCGTCATTCCAATAAAAGGTGAACCAATCAAAGATCAAAGACGAGGATTGGCTGGGGTCTAAAACCGAGCCGGGTGTCGCTCAGTCATAAGAAGTGCGATGAGAGCATACGACACATTTGATTAATGAATTCGCATTCAACGAATTGAACGAACGCAGTGAGAAAAGTTTGGACTACGACATTATTACACCACAGTTTGTCTCCTACATATAGATAACAGCCGCAATAAATAAAGTCATGGCTTGAATGATTAAACCTCGCATGTGTGCGGCGTTTGCCAGCGTCTAACGTGTAGGGGGGGGGGGGTCGGTTGGACCCCTCTGCCATTCGGCCCCTGATTGAGCTAGAGCCTCGCGAAAAAAAGAACGAGCGTGTTGCCCGTTACGAGAGGAAGCCGATGATACCCAAGTTTAAGGTCCTAGGTCATTGGTTGACCTTCCAGGCCAGGTCAATGACACGAAAGTCAGGAAAGTCGGGACCTGCTAGAACTTCGTAAAGGGAAGTTGAAATGCTTTTCCGTGGCGCTAATCACGAATATCATGTTAGTTTTGATCACAGATGATGCCTTCATGCATTTAGGCGAGGTCGGGTCAGGTCAGGTTAGGTCAACCAGTAGGTACCTAGGCGTCCTGCCGGCTATCCACAGTAGGTGTCAACTACCACTAACGGCGTCGTAACATGTTACGAAGGTACTAAAACTACTTCGTAAATGTTCAAATAGATGCTAAATTCGAAATCAGCCCGAAAAAAACTACCATAGAGACATGTAACACTCGAAAAAAGTGACCCGAGGTCATCAAAGGTAAATGACCTGACCTGACCTTGACACTCACCCTAATGCATGGGAGCAGCATCAAATCACATGTTTGAACGTTTATAGTCACAAAAAGACTGGAAATGCGCGGATAATTTGAGCTGACATACGCTGAATCGCTATTCCGACCAAACATGGTCTCGAGAAATAGGTCACAGGTCAAAGGTCATTTGGGTCAGGGTCCTGACATTTTTAAAGAAGGTGTAAAATTGATCAACTCGATAGTGCTGAAAATTTCGTCGTGGTCGGCCGCGTTTTGCGCGAGTTATTTTGGAAAATCCACTAGGGGTTCATCCGACCCCCCCCCCCCCCCCGCCTGCACATGCGAGGGTTAAACAAAACATCGATCGAATGCTTGAATGAACGGGCTGAAAGAAAACGGACTCTTTGTCTTTACAGCCCAGAGTGATGTGAAGCTGAATGATGAAGAACCTACGTGTGCATTGTTTTTACGCCCGTGTTTTGCAGCGCCCCGGCCGGCGGGCAGACGTGTGCGGAGAGTGGGGGTGGACCGAAAACCCCGCCAGGCCTACAGCAGCCGACAACTGGAGGTGTTGGAACATGAGTTCAAGGTGGGTCAATGGGTCAACTCAGGCCAATGCGCATCATGCGGTTGGGTCATAAGGTTATGGTGGACAACACTTGCAGCTCTGTCGTAAGTGAGTCGATAGTGAAAAGGTCTATCGTAAATTATAAAAGCTATCCTTGCCGAAAAACAGGCCAGCACGAGGTCAAGATAGGTCAACAACCGATAAGTTAAAAAAAATCAAGCTGGATCGGCAGTTCATGAAAAATTGAAGGCTAATATTTATATCAAAGTGAATCAAGTTTGGACACTCGCTAATGCTGAGAGGCTACGAAACAAAATGCTTAGAGGTCAGTACAGCTAATCTATGGGTCGCTGGTAACAGATACTGGAGCAAGTATGCTGTCTTTTCTTTCCATCACTCTTTTTGTGGTCCTGTTAACCAACACCAACATCATCTGATGTCCATCAACCCTCCATCAGGTGGACAAATACCTCAGCGTCAGCAAACGCATGGAGCTCTCCCGGGAGCTGCAACTAACCGAGGTGCAGATCAAGACATGGTTCCAAAATCGGCGCACGAAGTGGAAGAAACAGGTGGCTTCTCGTCTCAGACTGGCTCCACGCCCCGGCCTGCTGCCGCCACTGCTCGGCGCTGCGCCACTTCTTTGTCTACCTGCGCCATTTATGTCTGCAGCTCTGCGAGAGGCAGCTGCTATGGCGGGAGCAGCTAGTCATAGTCGCGGCTCGAGCAATGATGGACCACATGGTTAGAAACGGTTAGCAATGCTAGAGAAGGCAGTAATGCTAACCCCTTCCAGAGAGGGGAAACAAAACCCAATACTCTAGTCTGAGGGATGAGTTAGGATAGGGCAGTAAAGTCGTGCATTGCTAGAAAACATAGGCGAAGCCTAGGAAGAGTGGCAACGGGGAGAACAACTAACTAGATACGGAGTGGCAATGGTGACTAGAACGGTGGAGCTATCCGTGTGAGTACCTATTTACCAAAGATTGGGTGGCCCTTGCCGTGTTAGATCAAGGGATGTAATAGTTACGGTCTGTATAACGAGTAGGTATATAATATACAGACCGTAGTATATGACGTATTATGTGAGTACTGAGTATATAATATGTCCCGTATTACACACTCATTCTCATTCGTGAAGTCAGTACTAACGGCAGATGATCCGGTGCTCGTAGTCGAGCAGGTAGGTATGACTTGAGTCTAAGCACAGCATGTGTATGGCAGAAGACAAATGTATGGCAGGAATGAACGAAACAGGGCATACCCTTATCAGGCTGTCCACTGTCCAGTGGTAGCCTTTTAGCAGGCAATATGCGGCACTTGCTTATCACTAGGAACCTCATTCAGAAACCAGTCACTGAATGCACTTCTCAAAAGAGTATTTCGCAATAGAGACACTGAGCTACTTCACCTCACTATATTACGAGTCCTTCAATTCTTCTGAGCCACCGCACGAAACAGCCACACGACACGCATACTAAACTAATATTGTTTTTACCACGTCCAATGCCAATGCCACCCGTTTCAATTGGTCTGCGCCTGTGACCTGAGACGGTCACTGACTGGCTGGGTCATGGGTCACCACCCCACAGCGATCGAGTGCAGGAGCGGATCCAGGCAACGGAAAAGGGGAGGACATTTCAGTATGCAACAAAAGGCATCGGAACTAAAAGCATTGGCACTAAATGCCAACATTGGCATTTAGTGCCAATGTTGGCGCCAAAGTAGGATTCAAGTAGGCAAGTAGGTATGTGGCTATTGCAAAGCAATGTGACCGTTGTACGTACGTTGACCGCTGTATGTGTAACTACGCGTGTATGCAGTGTGTGTGTAACTATTTGAGTTGGAGGAGGTGGGGAAAATATGAGTGGTTAACCCTATTAGTGGCAGGGGGGGGGGGTTGTTTTCATCCACCCCTAAGGTTTTTCGGGAATATCTCCGAAACCGCTGAAGCTACGATGCTGAAATTTTCTGACTTTTCCTAAAACTAAATTGGGCACATTCCCTGAAAATTTAAAGTTCATAACTTTACCAGGGGCGGCTCCAGAGCACTGGGAATTGGGGGGTCCTATTCGTGAAGCGAGTCATTTGGGCGTGCTGATGTATTAGGTATAACTGTATGCACCAGTTTTACGAACAGTGAATGAAAGGTATCATGTGATAACATATACAAAGTTATTGTGCATCCTCTTTTGACACGTTTTTGCTATAATAGGCGGATCCAGGCGTCCAAAAAGGGGGGTTATGTTTTACCTCCCAACATAGGTGCCCTGACACCGCCTATGCATGACCAATACAATTGTAGTCGTTCTCTCATATGAAAATTGTAACATAACAAGACCATTACCACCCTTTTTAGAAACAGTACCAACAAAAACCTTATTTACTATACTTTTTGTGTACCCCCAATCTCAATGATCTGTATCCGCCTATGATTTTTGAAAATGCATATTTTTAGGATCCTTGTGAATTCCTGGTTCATTCTCTATCGATCGGCAAAAGTTGCGTTAAGATTGGTTCAGAAACCTGGCCGTGATAAACAGTCTAAAATGTATCTGCAATTTGCCCGTTTTTACCCCCCTCTATCCCCCTAATGACATTTTTTAATTTTCATTTTTTAGAAATGTAGATCACGTTGAGCGAAATCGAATGCCGTTTGAATTTTGAAAATCGGCCCGTTAGATCTCGAGATATCAAGGGGGGGTCGTAAACAGCCCCCCCCCTGCCACTAATAGGGGTAGCCAGGAGCCTGCCACTAATAGGGTTAAAGAATAGGTTGCACTTATCATGCTTCCATATAAAAAGTTACCTCTGTCTAGCTTGAAGTATTCTTATCAAACTGGTGAATTCTGATGTGCCAAAGACGAGCATTTAGCAATACTGCTTTGAGCGACAAAAAATGTGCTTGGCTACCGGGGCAATTCGTGTTTTTTTTTTTAACCGCACCTATGCACTACATCGTGTCTGCGCTGCGTGTGTCATGAGTGGTTTCTTTTTTTAATTCCTGTAGTAAGTAGGATGCCTATGATTCGACATTAATGTAAAGACGCTGTGAATTAGTTTGGCTCAGTGTTACAAATAAATGAAATATATCTACACCGACGTACGTACAGTCCACAGCAAAAGTAATGTGCGGTTTCAGTCATGGGTATGTTGTGCTTCTAAAGCATAGGGGCTATTAACCAGACTACAATGAAACTGTAAATGTTGCTTACATGTATCGTCACCACTGCAGCTTGAACTTTATCCATTGACGTCTTCTTTTAGATCACTCCGCATTAAAAAATCGCCAGTCAAAGCCATCCATTGAGATTGGTAAAACCGCACATTATTTTAGCGGTGGGCTGTATGTACAATACTACCGAGTTTTCCTACTATCATTCTATGCATGCGACCACCAAGACGCATTATGGAGACCTTTATGTCACAATATCTTATGTTCTCTGGCGAATGTCTAAAATTCATCATAAAAACTTCGCTTATTTCGGGACTAATGCTTTATTCACAGAATGTAACACGCACCAGCAATTCATCCACTTCGCCGCAGGCGCTCTATACGAATTTGTCTTCGGTCAAAGCAGCAGCACAAAACGCGGGCTCAAATCCGCACATAACCACGCTATTTCAACAGGCTGATTTAACTGTGTGCAGAAAATAAATATGTGAATGAAGCGCGACTCCATTGCTTGCTTTTTCTAACAGTTTGCCATCTGATACGAGCATCCTTATGAGACGAGCAGCGACTTATATAAAAAAAACGGGCGCTCCGATGTCGGTAACCAGCAACCGATAACCACAGCGGGTAGTGCGGCTGTAAATCCAATGACGTCATATTCATAAACACGCGATTGTCCGCGATACAAAACCACCTCACATAACTCACAGAACTCCGACTTTCCAACGGTAAAACGCACAGCGGTACACGCCTAATTTGGGCCACAAGCACACCAGCTCTTTCTAAAAGAAAGAGTCTGGGTGAGAGGTTAACGGGCTTCCATGGAATTTGTCAAGGGTGCATCTGTTGGTTTCAATCCACATCTCAAACCACTGTGCACCACACATCAGTCTTGCGTGCACAGGTGAACGTTACGGGTCAACACGCAAGTCTATTTACACGAAAAACTTCATCTCGATTCACACACGAGGGTCCGGAAAATCGCACTGGAAACCAGCTTGACTGGGCGAACCGAGTCGCGAGATTTCCGATTCATCATCGAAAAGCACACAACGCATATCAATAACAAACTAAACATAAGACATGAGGCGAGCTTTGTCAGCATCGTTACCAATACGCAAATACACGGCTTTGGCTATTGCTGACACGAATCAATACTCTTCTTACCAAATGGGGTCAGCCAGGTATCATCAGCTGTTGGTCATCAGCAGTAATTATGACAGTCAGATCGATGTTTATCAACACCGTCAACTGTCAGCTGACCCAACTGCCACAAAACCGCGAGATGACACCTACATGACAGCATAGTGACAGCACACAAGCACCCCCATATCCAACGATGAGATTCCCTCTGTACAAACATCCCAATTACCGTGCAGATAATCGACCCACGAAATCTCTCATGTGAAGCTTCATACTATGCCAACACACATGAGATTTCACCGCGGGTCGAACGTACACACACTCACTCAGTGCCAAACCTTCTCCCCCTCCCGTCCCCTCCCTCCCCGGCCTCTCAGTACATTGCTGACGGCATGTCCATAATCCTGTTGGAGATGTTGAGTCTCACCACGGTGGATAGCGTGCTTCCACTGCTGTAGTCCGGAGAAGGAATACGAACCGGTCTCTCCGAGTACAGCCCCGCATTGCGAGGACCTCTACGCAGGAACCCCCTCGCCTGGGGTCGGGGACATTCGGTTGGAGGTGAATCAGGGAGGGGTTCTTCGGGAGTTCTCCCGCGGCGAGTCGCTGCAGCTCCCCTCTCCGTGATCCACTGATCCATGCGCCTCTCAGCTGCTTGATGGTACCTCTCTGCGCCTCCCCCACTGGGGGAACGTTCGAACCTCTCCGCAGGCCAGCGAGGCTCTTCGACACGTCGAGAGAACCGGTCGTCGAGAGCGTCTCGGGAGCGAGACCGCGGCGGCGGACGGCGGCTGGAGGAGGAAGGGGCGGGCTCGCCTCGCCGACTCGCACGTCGCTCGACGCTCTCCCCCGAGACGCGGAGGGTCGGTGGATCTCCCAGCTGGAAGCTACCAGCGCGTCGCACGGCGGCCGGTCGGGTCGACTCGTCGGTGAAGGTCTCCCGACGGCGCAGCTGGGGCCGGGAGAAGTGGAAGCTCCGGGCGCTCTCAGAGTCCAGTGCGCTGCAAAAGGGGAGAGGGATAGAGTTAGATACACCCCGGGTTGTACTTAGTTTCCATGATAAAATGGATGAGGTTTATTTTTTAGTTTATTCATTTCTTATATGCAGCACCAACATATTAATTTTTTATTATGCGTCGATTATCACCCCAGGCTCTGCCAGCATGCTCCCTCGCTCATTCTCTCCGCTACGAATTCAGTGATACCCCCATCTGTCTCTCCTTGTCTTTCCGCTGTATTGACCTAAGATCCGTTCCCTAGCCTCCAACCCTCCCTCTTCTCCCTCCCTCCCTCTCTCTCTCTCTCTCTCTCTCTCTCTCTCTCTCTCTCTCTCTCTCTCTCTCTCTCTCCTCCCTCCCCCTACCACTAACCTGGAAGCTCTATGCTCCTGATGCCGTGCTGTCCCATAAAAACTCGCTGTCGTATCGCTTCCCTCTGATGTCTCCGGCTGGAAGAACAGCGCCGCCTGCTGCTCAGCGCCAGCCGATACGGAGCGAACGAACCGAGCAGGGGGCTGTGGGACGCGGTGGGGCACGATGGCCTGCTCCACGGGCTCCTCGGGAGAGGTGGGCACCGGCGCTGGCTCCGGGGGAGGGCGAACGGTCTCTGCCGAGGAGCTGCTCCGACCTGTGGGAGAAGGTGGAGGTTAGAGAGTGTTTGAAACAGATAAAGTAAAATAGTGCAAAGCAGAAACTTAGTAGAGAGGATAAACTGCGTTATGTAGCAGCTGGGGTACTTTGAAGAAAATATTTCTCACTTATGAAATCCATACTGATCTGTGGACCCCAGAATTCACTCTGCATGTACTCAGCGTAAAAAGCCAGCCATGTACTCGATTTAGACTCGAATTACAACTCGTAATCGGTTGCAATTTCCACCGAGACCAGGTTCAGTGTGGACTCAGAGTGCACTCGGCGTTGACTATGAACTCACCCGAGGTGAGGCTGAGCGTGGACTCAGCGTTGTGTATGACGCTGGTCAGCTGGTCCATCGCCTCCTGGATGGCCGCCGCCTCGGAGCGCCGCTTCAGGGTCTCCTCACCAGGTGTCGCCTCGAACGCTCTGTTCTCGTACACCTGGTGGCGTCAGCAAATAAGAACGAGTTATAATTCTGAACAGAATGACGGTCTAGGCATCACGGTGGACGATGTATGAGTGAATTATGTGTGGTTCATAACACAAAGCAAAACAGCAATCTTCTGAGGCAACGGTGCAAAGTTAATGACGAAAATCAAATGCCATGGTATCTGGGCTTGGTGTTTGAAACAGTTCACACGTTATTCAGAGATCGAAATCAGTGCCCTTAGACAACTAACGACGTTAAATATAACCTGCTTTCGCTCTCCTCATTCCCCGAAAGAGTGAATCAGTGCTCATCACTAAACTAAGTATTACTGCGGCACTAAAGACGCAGCAGCCATTACCCCCCCCCCCCCCCATCCTTCCGAGTGTTTTTTTTTTATTCGATCAAATTTGGCCAATACGAACCTCCTGCGGTTTGCGGCGCGGCAGGGTCAGTGTGTCCGAGCCGCGGTGAGGGTCGAACAAAATCATATCGTTTTTGACCTCGATCGTTTCTTCGCAGATCTTCTCCTTTTCAAAGTCGTCACCGGCCGACCGGGAGACCGTCTGTGGAGATAAAGTCAAGGGTCAATGGTGACAGGTCAGAGGTCAAATGTCAGTGGTCATGCGCCAGAGGTCAGTGTCGGCGGTCACAGATCAAGCCGAGAGTGCAGTTGTCAGGTCAGGACTAGACTGAACCACTCTCGACTAGACGTCACATGTAGGGCCACGGGCCAGGGACTTCTAGGTCAAAGTTAAGGTCAGAACTCACAGATAAGGCTCGAATAGTAGGGGGTGATTGATGGGAGATTTAGTTTAGCAACCAGAGGCCCTGACCTGAAGTCGAAGTCCCACGTGACGTTCTATCCACCACCGTCCTCTGCCATCATTAGGGCATTCCTGCGTTCAAATTTACCCTCTGCACCGCTTTAGCATTTTGTCCCTATTTTCTCTTCCCGACCTCCTCCCGCCGTCCTCCCGCCATTCTCACCTGTTTCTCATTATCCTCTTCACTGCTCTCCTTCTCTTTCTCCTCCACCTTCCCCTCCTTCACACTCGCCGGCGATCCTGTGACGTCACTACCCCCGCTCTGCACTGACGCAGACAGAGAGGAGAGAGACGACACACCCGACGCCGTGGAGCTGACCTCCACCCGCGCGCCATCTTCCGGCCGCGGCGAGAGGCTCGAGTACCGCGGCCGGCCGCCGGGCGGCGCTGCAGTCTGCGGGGAATTCTCTCGGCTGAGCCGTTTGCTGAGCGAGTCGCATTCTTCCTTGGTGAGAAGGAGTTGTGATTTGTAGAAGTCGATTTGTTTTTCGAGTTCTTCGACACGGCTCCGGTAGCGCGCCTCGTTCAGTCGTAGGGTTTGTATGGTATTCTCGTGGCGCTGCCGATGGAAGGAGGGGTCAGGTCAGGCCAGGCCAGGTGGCAAATGGCCACAGCACTTGAAAATTGAAAAGTATCTGACTGCTGACAGACATGGGCGCCGCCACCGGGGGGGACGGGGGGGACGCGTCCCCCCCCCCACTCTCAGAATGGAAGGGGGACGTCCCCCCCAAACTCATTACCGAGCGAGCGAAGCGAGCGTAGTCTTTCGTAGGTTAACGGAAATTTCTGAGTATGCCGTGGTCACGCTTTTGCTAGGCTTATAGGTATCTCAGCAACCACTTGACCGATTTACATGCGGTAATTTTTGTAGGGTAGCACTAGATTCATTCCTTCTAACGAGCATCGGACTACTCCCGATGCATGTGAGTGACCCCATATGCACGTGCCACGTGAAAAACGAAGAGTTGTCAGTTTTGTAACAATTTCAATATCTCGGCAACTACTGGGCCGATTGCGCTGAAAGTTGGCATGTAGGTAGGTATACCCACTAGGCAATGCATATCCATGTGCCAAAGTTGGGGTGCTGCTGCACGTGCGCACATGCAGGGGTCGATTCCAGATCTCGAGAACGGCTGAACCGATTGTGCTGAAATCTGATACATGGTTAGGGACCGGTTAGTAGGGTGCGCCGTGCAAAAGTCAGTTGGAACCCATTTTGCACGTGCGCACGTGCAGGGTGCCGCTTCCAGATCTCGAGAACGGCTAGGCCGATTGCGCTCAAATTTGGCACATCGTTAGGGACCGGTTAGAAGGGTGCAGTGCACAAGTTAGTTGGAGGTTTCGCAACTTCGCAATTTCGCACGTGCAAGGCCCACTCCACCCTCTCGCTCGCTCCGTTGGTCGCCCCGAAAGGCGTTTTACTGGTTGCTATCCTACTCGAAATTTGATTAGGCACTTCGGTCCAGTGAGACCATTTCAGAGCCGCAAGTATGAAAGAATTAGTGGGAGACATTGGTCGGGGCAGCCACCCCAGTGAGCCACTTGGGATGAACCCGACCAATTGAACAGGCAGCCCAGCCCACTGGCACTCACTGCACCCGGCAAAGGACTATAGCTCCAGTGGAGCCATTCCCGCATGGGATAGAGTTGCCCGTCCAGCCCGGAGCAGGGGGTTGCGGCGTGGAGGAGAAGGATTTGACTGTCCTGAGGATGGAAGAGATGGAACGGCCGGTCCCGAATCTGAGAGGGTCCAGGAGGTTTAGATACCTACTCAGTATATGGGGTGTGGGCCTACATGCATTGGTCTGATCCCTGCCACCTCGGCCAACAAAATCTCCAGCTCTTATCCGACCTGTCATCGCGGAACTGCCGATTTTTGATATCGTGATCAACGTGTGTCGTATAACTTGACTGGCCGAACACGGGCCAAATATATTTCGTCTAACCAGCCAAGAGCATTACTTTACACCAATCCGACCTCGAAGTCAAAATCCGAACATTTTCGAAGACTTCAACTCCGACTCTGGCGAAAACTGGCCAAAACAGTCAACTCCGACTGATTCCGGCTCCGACCCCACACTTCTGCAGTCACGCTACACTAAATTTCCAGCTTCTAAGAAACAAGCTATACGGTTGACAGGACCACAAAACTTTGAGGCGACTTGACTACTTGACTTGGTTTTCCTGACCTAAGGTTTTCTGGTATCAAGCTTGTTACACGGGCTGCAAAATTCGTATTTTGGAGCAGTTTTGCATAATGTTTTTTTTTTTGCCAATTTTCGCGGCGCTTCGCGCCGATTCGTGCACAAACCAAAAAGAGAGATTTGTGACTATACAACGCCCCCTCCCCCACGCGGGTATGCAATATGCATTACCTATGCAATATGCATTACCTATGCAATATGCATTATCGATCATATTAGTGGCATACATCAGCAATTATACCGTGATAGAACACGAGGCTTTGCCGTGTCAATCCGACCGAAAAAGCCACGGTAAGAATATCTACTTTTGGGTTTTCAGTCGGTCAGTCCGTCCCCCCCAGTCAAAAATCCGTGGCGGCGCCCCTGCTGACAGACACACAATAGCTGTGAGGCATCTGTAGCAGCATTATTAGTTATCCACACTGCAACACAGACAACATAAAAAAAAATAATCTAGTGCAAACAGCATCTGCCAAAGTACGGTTTACGGATGCCTTTTACCTATGGTGAGCGAGACAAGAGACTGAAAATAAATGCTATCATATCGAGGAAATAAAGATATACCTACCGTTGTTCACATCTAATCACTCATGACAAAGCAAATGAAAAAGTTTCCATTGACTTTAAAATAAAATTAACATGCTGGACCAAAGAAGAGTACGAAATAATTTCTACATCATCAGCTCTGCCTAGGCTCCCAGCCCCTTCTCTCCCTAGATTCTCTCAGCAAATTTGACGCCGCATACCTTGATGTCGTCCTTCAGCTGATCTTTCTGCTGTCTGAGCCGTGACGACTGTTCCCGCTCAGTCTGCAGCAGCTGGTACAGCTCCTCGACGTCCGTGTACTGCCTCTGCCACCTCTCCAGCTCGGCACGGATCGCCGCGTGCTCGTTATTTGATGATGACAGGAACTGGGGAGGTGTGGGGCGCAGTGTCAGAGACTGGACTGGAGTCAAGTTGTCAGAGGCGGGCCAGAGTGCAAGTTAGAAGACCACAAAGAGACATGCAAATGTCTTAGCAGGCTTCACTCAAGCTTGCAATGAATCATCAACCAAGTCCTGCTAAGAGGTTGTTATATCGTGGCTGGCAGTCGAGATATCTGGCTCAATGATTTTCCCGATTTGACTTTGCCGAAGAGTTAAATGTATGACGGACTTAAAAGAGAACCCCATTCTTTGTTGGAAATGTTTTGCTTTTATCGAATGTAAAGAAAACATGATCGATTATTTTTACGAACCGTTGTTATACAGGCGGCCACGTACCGACCACCACAACCAACGGATCGTTTTGATGCGATCAATGAATAAAAAACATCAGCAAGCCAATACGTCCGACCACAAACATCAGCTACCACTGCCATTTCAGCGAAATGACGCGCACCTTTTTGATGACGTTGACGTCGAAGCCGGCTTCCTCAATCTCGGCCTGCAGGTGAACACGCTCCTTTCTGTCCGCTGCCGTCTCGGCCAGCTTGTTCAGGAACTGCAGACAGGCCACCTGAAAACTGCAACAGCGGGGGAAAGAGAATATGTTAGAGTGCCAGCTTGTTCAGATCTTGGGGAGGGGGACAAACCACCCAAAAAACTTCAGCGGCATTGGAAAGGGAAATGCGTTACAGACTTAGTCAGCTTGTTTAGGAATTGGAGACAGGCCACCTGAAAACTGCAACAGCAGGGGAAAGGAAGCATGTTACAGACTCTGGAAACCAAAACCACACGGGGTTAGGGAGTATGTTACAAAATCGGACAGCTTGTTCAAATACATAAAAAACAGGCCACCTGGATCTTAAACAGTGCGGGGAAAGGACGGCTACAGGACTGCTCCAAATCGCACGAATGCAATATTGCATTCCACGAAGTTCTATGTTTCCACGATTTCAGCATTGAGTGTTGTTTAGTGTACGACGAGTTACAGCTAGGAATGGGCCACGATCAGGCGAAACAGAATGTCTAGAACTGCTACTGGCTACAGGTCGGCTGCATAGTTACAACATTGGAATGGGAACGAAATCATAATTTGCAGCCCACTGACATTAGAATACGTGCGTCGTGTGGCTGCGAACAACAGCCTGCATTCTTACGTGCCTTACAGAGAAATGGTGCCCACTGAACTTTGTGTTGTGAAAAATTCCAGCATGCAGCCAGTGCACTACTATCCTTGCCAATAGGGAGACCTGAACTCAGAATCAAGGTTGCCCCCCCCCTCTCTCTCTCTCCCTCTCTCTCACTCTCTCTCTCTCTCTCTCTCTATCCCCTCCTCTCTCCTCACCTAGCCACTCCAAACGAAGTCAGCATGCCGATGAGAAACTTGAAGCGGACTGGCTCTCCGAATCTCAGTCTCAGAGTGGAGGCTGCTTCCAGTACCTGCTCGTGACCGCGTGGAGGTGTCTCACAGGCCACAGTCAGCAGCTGAGACACAGAGGCAGTGTCAGCAGTCAGCAGGGTCAGCAAAGTCAACAGTCAGCAGAACATAATAGAACAGAACAGAACAGGACAGGTTCGAGGGAGGGGAGGTGCAGGGAGGGTCGGGTAGGATCGGGAAAGGGGTGATGTATCAACTGAATAGACTGGTAAAGCTGGACTTTGTCCACCCGCTCCAGGTGAATTTCGATAAAACGGAGTAAAAGCGCCAGTTGGCATAAACCACACTCGGAGGCTCGTAGAAGTAGGTAGGTATATAAAATTCAGCCTTGAAGTAAAGGTAAGTAGTAGCCTTGCCTTTCTAGCCTTGAAGCAAACTAAAGTATCATGGACCTAAAACATTGACATAAACAAAACATTTTGACGGATCAACTTACGTTCCGACTTCAGATAAACAAACCAAATGTATGATTAATTCAATCACGCTATAAAAATGCGAGTCGAGGAAGCACTGCGCTAAGAAGTTACAGCTCCCTCCATTAGATGGCAGCACTATCACCGCTCACCTCCAGAGCCAGTGTTCTCGACTTGCTGAAGTTGCTCATGATGCACACTGCCACAGTGTAGAGGCCGTGGGAGTAGCCCACCAGTTTGCCGGCTGTCTCCTCACAGCGCAGACAGTGTTTCAGACACAGCAGACAGTCGTATTCGTCCGTCAGAGCACGGCGGAAGAAATTGTGGTGCTCCTTGGAGCGCAGAGTGCCGTTCATCGAGGCTGAAAAACAAAAGAATGTTCGCGTGTAGGTTACAGAGTAACACAGCTAAAACTAAGAGCCAAACACTTATGGTGTTAGAAAAAAATGGGTAAATCGTAAAATGTTTGTTCAAACAGCGGTCAAATCAATACCAGAACCAGGCTTATGTTGCCCGTCACACGACTCAAATACCTACTCAAGAAAACGTAATTGGATCGACGATTGTATCCGAAGGTTGAGACTTTGCAATTAGAACATCACTATTCTTTATACTGTAGGTAATCGCAGTTCAAAGGTTATGCCTACTGACAACTGACAAGTGATAAACATTCATGTTCGAAAGACGATTAGGCCTCTTCAAGTGCGTACCCACTTCATAGCTGATCTAACATCGTGGTACGGCGCACCTGCATCCATCCGACAAACACGCATTTCCCAGACACCCAGCGGACCCACTTCCCATAGTAGCCAGAGCGTGACGTCACGGTATGTGCTCCAATGACGTCACGGTATGTCACCGCTGACGTCACGCCCCACTAAGGACCGAACTGTTGTTGATGAGCCGATCAAACGCAATGACTCGGTCCGACGGCTAAACAACGGTATAGGTTAACCGCTGGGGCGAGACGCACCGGTGTGGGTAGAGTACTGGGATGACCCCTCCGGCCTCTACCTTCCATAAATCTTGTCATTTTTCACCAACGATGGTGGTGATATTTTACCTAACGAGGTTTTTGAGATCAGAGCGACCATTTTCGCTTTGTGAGGCAGGTGCTAAGTGTTTCTCCAGTCTCATATCTTTCGATCAGAAGTCAGTTTCTGAACGATGACCCATATCTTGTGACCCGTAGTCCACTTTTTATCACATATCTCCCCATTTCTGTTCGGCTTCCGTGAGCCACCGAGTTCCATTAGAAGCTGATCCATCACCATCAAATTATTCGCGGCCAATCTGATGAGCTTCCAGCCTCCAATGATGGCTTGAACGCGCGCCAGTGGAATAATCTCCATTGGTTCCATTTGAGCACCAACATGTCATTAGAACCACACAAACCAACATGTCGGCGAGGTCGGGTGCGGTTTTGCGTTTTAGCAGAGCTAAGGACTGACTTCTCCAACCATTTAAAACACCCACCAATCTTTTTTCTCTCAAGAGACATCGACATGACGCACTGGCCACTGCAGCGAACTTTGCTCTCAGGGATTGCAGCGGTCCAGAGCGGAAGAAAACAAGGGAAGTGATGTAAAAACTCTAAACTGCTGACAATGCAGCAGGGTTGCAGACAGGTGGGAATCCTCGCGTAACTAGCCTGACGACAATGGAGTCCGTGGAACAATGGGCAGGTCAAAGAACAGCGACAAAAAGCTTCGGCGGCGTACACGGCGTGAAACACGGGCGACTGAAACGTCGCACCAATTACGGGTTCGGAAATGCAGCATAATTGACGTGAAATACCTAATGTCCGGGGCCTGCAACCATGAGAGCAAAAGTGAAGGAGCAAAAATCTTATGGATTTTAACTCTGGTTTGTGCCGAATTTAGGATGCAGAAAGCCTTGTTAGTGACAGTGGCAGTGACTTGTTGAACATAAAGGCTATTGAGTATTGATCTATCACATTCAGCAACCGTCCTAACCGATATCGTCAATGTATTGACAAGGCTCAACTGAAGTGACCTGAGCTCTCAGTACGCCTCTCCCTCCGGCCTCCTCCTCCCCGTGACACGCGGAAGACAATACTGATCCTAGGCTCCCCTCTGCCGAACCTGTGTGGTCTCCCGTCTCCCGTGGCGGTAACTGACAGACCCCGGCTGACAGCGACCACAGGGGTGCGATGGAGTCGCGTCTGAGACGGTTTGACAGACAGGTATATGACGGATGACGGATGAAGGATGACAGACGGATGACGGGCGGTCAGCGTGAGTCCTGTTGACGGGTCAACCGAACCACTCAGAGTGACGGGTTCCATCGTGATGGGTTCATATGTGTGTGGTGGGTCAGTGCGAGATGATTCGGACGACGTGTTGTCTTGTTGGGTCCAGCTAGGGTGCCTTTTGGTGACGGGTCATTGTGACAGGTCTGTAAATGACATATATGAAACATAATACTCTACTTGTCTGTCGTCTGTCTACACGTCTTCATGTCTTCGACAAGTCAGTGTGACTGTGGACATTTATTTAGTCAATGGAAATACAACGGCTTGACCGGTCGTTTCATAAACCAATGTCGAACAGTCATGTATGTTTGCGAGGACTAGACTGTACTCTTTTCTTCAGCCCACATCCGGATCTGTAACACTAGGTCCTACCGCTCAAGCCAAATTCGAGCCCGACTCCAACCACCGCATTAACTCCGTTCCGGTATAGCGGGTCGCCCTCGTCTGGTGAAGCGTCACTAACACCCGTGAACAGCGCTTACTCGACCGCGCCCATCGGATCCGGGTACGGCACCGATCGACAATCGACATACCGAGACGACCGCCGACCGGTCAAACTTAGACCGCCGACTGGTTCAACGGTGACTGACAGGCTGGTGAGAACTGTGCCAACATGTGACCACTTCTCTCAAGAGGGTTAGACGAGTGCTCTGGTTTTGTTGAGACGCAATCTCTCATTCGAGGGGTGAGGAATGGTGCAGTGGCCATAGGCTGTTACAGAAAAGCTCACTCAAAAGGTTCGCACAAGGACTTAGAAGTGAGTGTGTAAAGCGGCGTTGAGCTGAGAGAGTTCGTAACTTGAAAGTTGGAGCTACCGAGATTCAGCGAGTGTTCATCAGCAGGACTTTGTCATTCGCAATTTCTACGGCAGCCTTTCGATTCCACACCGACACGGCTGCTCGACGGCTGAATTCCGTCGCGATGAAAGAAGTTGTGGTTCCACCCTGTTGGATGATCTTTCTTGCCTCCCTGCCACCTCTGGCTGTATCTTACCGCTCTTACCTGCGTAATCGGTCTGTGAGAGCTGGATCATCTTGAGCAGGTCCAACAGCGCCGTGACGCCATCGTAAGGCTCCGCCACGAACTCACGAACGAAACTGGAACACGATGACGGCTCGTCACGGCAAGTCACGAAAAGTCACGGCGAGTCACGGGGAGTGACGAAACACGTAGAAGGTCACGGTGGCCAGTGCACGACTGTTTATTCACTTGGAGGACGGATACTGCATGCCAAGGGCAGCAAATGATGTGTAACGAATAACAACAAACGCTGACGAAAACCGTCTATCAGCACTTGAACTCAATTTAAGATGAGGCGTCAAACATTCAAGAAATTCAAACGATTCAAACTCAATCAAGCAAACTGTCATTCTGCATTCAGGTGCTGATGTAAAAGCGACGGTTAGCTTGTCAGACATCACGTCAATGTACTGTTGTCGGTGACATATTCATTGTCCTATGACAAAACTACCACTGACGTCGCCTCAGTAAGCTTCAGCCGCCTCAATTCTCCCGTGAGCCAATTCCTCTCGTCACCACACGACACGTAAAACGAGCCACTCGACCCAAAACCAGGCCCTTCAATTCAGCCGCCGCCGCCGACCCTAGCAGCGCTTACCATCTCCTGCGCTCCTCAGAGAAAGTATTCAGCTCCCACATAGATTTACGGCAGATTTTACGGCTGGGGACGCGGTGCGGACGCGAGTCAGCCGCTCAAGAACGGCGGAGTGCGTCACGAGAAACCTGTCAGCGCTCGACAAAAAGGTTTTAAGATGAGCGCTAATCATGACCTCTGACCTGTCGCCGACGGGGACAGGGCGAACGGCTTTACATCGTTCGCTCTGAGAGCTGTGCCGCTTCAGAACAGCCCGACACATGACAGGCACTGAGATGCTTATGACACGGTGGCTGCTGGGGTACGAGTATTTTAGGTTTGGCAGTCACGATCGCGCAATAAATATTTCAATATATATATTTTTTTTCGTTGCAAATAGGTTTTGACATAAAAGTGCAAAAATTTCCTTCACTCTACGTAAGAGGAGTTGAATGATTTTTACCCTACAACTAAGTTGACAGGCTAGCAACTCCGCTCTTAATAAAAAAGTTGACAGGCTATCCAGATAAGGCAGCTTGGTAGCTACTTTAGTTGTCAGCTAAAGCTGGAAATTCCCGCCCTTGATAATCTTTTAGAGCAATACCGTTTAAGGCTCATCACATTATCGCATTAAGCATGGAATACTACTGCTATTAGTTAGCCTAATTAGACAATAAGACATCTCAAAACGGTCCCAGCCTTTCCAGAGCGGTATGGACTCTCACACTCAGTGGCCTTTTATTCGGTGCTAAATTCTCCTCCACCCATGAGGTCCACCGTTTTTGTGAGACGCGCTCGCCCACGTTTTTGTGTTGTTTTCCAGCTTTCTGCGGCTGACGAACGAGGTAGCCGACCTGAGCGGTAGGTTGGGGTCTGTCTAGTTAGGGGCGGGGCTGCTGGGCGCGGTAATTGGTCGTAAAGAGCCGACGGTGGCGGCTACTGACGAATGGAAGGGCTGACGGACAGCTGCGGCACGCAACGTCATGACAGCCAAATCACGCGGCACTGCATGGCAGTTAGTTTTATCAGCTTTGTGGGATACGGAATGGTAATGCGATAGCGACAGTCTGACTCGTGTAGATCTAGGGCAGTGTTCGCCACGGGCCGAAAAATCCCAGCCCAGCCCGGCCCAGGCCCATGGGTTCACAGCCCGGCCCAGCCCGAGCCCGTTTACGGTAAAAGCGGCAAAGCCCAGCCCGGCCCAGCCCATCAAAAATGAATGAATTTAACATTATGGAAAGAAAAAATATAATGAGAGCAGCATGCACAATGCATATTAAACATGCATACTTCATTAAGTATGTCTTCAGTCTTGCACACTGCAAAATAAAAAGATAGTTATGGTTTTTGCCCCAGTCGCGAACTATTCCACTTCAGTCCATTTTCAAGTTCTCATGGCCCAGCCCGTCCACAGCCCATCAATCCTTCATATCTGAGGGCCCAGCCCAGCCCGTAGCCCAGCCCAGCCCATAGCCCACTGGGCTGGCCCGGCCCATGGCGAACACTGATCTAGGGCGCTCGATGTGCGCACTGTTTGGGGCGATATCCGTGACAAAATCGCTGCAGTGAATGTGTCTTCCCAATATTATTCATATTCTTTTGTTCCTCCCCCTATATCATTCATATTCCTTTGTTCCTCTTCTTTGCCTATATAATTGTTATTTAAAGCACCGTTTTGAACCACTTCAAAGTCCCCTGGCCCCACCAGTCAACAATCACACACGCGTCGTCATACCAAGCCTCGCACTGCACCGTAAAACACTCGGCCGTTCCCTCCCCTCCCCTCCCCAACCCCCCTTACACCGCCCATCGCCGCCCCACGGCACGTCCATGAATACACATTGTCCCTGATTGTCTATGCTTCACCACGGTCCGGTCTGAGACCAATTCAACTGCCGGCCTAGGAGCCGTTAGAGGCGGCAGATGGCGCACTACAGTGCGCCAGGATGGTCGCAGTGACGGCTGTGGCACGTATGGGATCATTGACATGAGACCAGGGGAATTTATCGGACTTGACTGGATAACGGAATAGTGACGAATGATAGCGACAAAAAAGGTGAAGTGTTTCATACATAAAGCTTCTTGAATCAAGCACACTTCAAGCATGCTTCAAGCACGCCATCGATAGTTCGCGGCTACTGAAAAACAAGCGAACTAAATTCGGACCTAAAAGCGAACATTTATGTACATAAACTCACGTTTGATTGATACGTTTGAGCTAGAAAGCATGCGGTTAAACGAAGATTTCTTTTTATCTTCATCTTTGGCTCAGCATTATATACAAAGTAAACTCTTCCCATTGACTCACCTCGGGAAGGAGAGTTTCAGGTCCTGTTTCAGCTTCTTCAGCAGCTCCGAGACGTTGGAGAACTGCCTCATCGACATCTCCTGCTTGCTGCTGCGCTCAGACTTGTTATCCTTCTTCTTCTTCTCCTTCTTTCCTTCTTTCTCTTTGACTTCGGATCCCTCAATGTAGAGCTTGGTGCCACCTTTCTTGCCGAATTTCCGCAGACCGACGATGTAGTCCTCGGCATTGTAGAGAGGCGGGCGAAGTTCCTGAAAAGAAGAGAAAAACATACGTCATTTCGTATGCTTGCACACCTGACAAAGCTATAAGGCACTGGAGTGGAACTCTAGTGTGTAGATAGCCTAGGCAGGTAGGGATGGCTATTTAGATGACACGGCCTGTAACTACCCATAGCGTTTGTTCCTGACGTGAGCTTCCTAGTTCCCACGGCCGCACTGAGGGCAGTGAAACTGGCCACTGAACCAGGACCATCCATGTCGCGCCAGGCTCCCACGCTGAGTATGAGGTGGGTACGGAACACTCGAACCTATTTACCCATCCAGGCAAGAGTCGTGGCACTGGCACTATAGCAACCCATCGAGGGCAAGTTGGTAATGCACTGCCATGATGAAATGACGTGTTTATGCAAAGCTGCTCTTCATTCCTTGTGCCATCGTGATCGCTTTTTATTATCGTTTTCTGTAGATTTAATGGTGTTTACTTTCGCTTCGCGCTTCCACTTCAGCACAACAAAGGTAACCCTGTTTGCATTGCTTTCTTTTCCGCTTTTTAGTTATTTCACGCTTCCATGCTGTGCTTTAAGTTTTTTTCCAGCTGTGGTATGTTCTTACCTAACGTCATAGCATGTCAAGGATAATGTAATAACAGATTGCAATGCTTCGAATGGCCAAAAATGAGCTGAACACGACAGTTTTGCACGCTGGAGAACAGTTGAAAGCACATCAGTTGAGCTCCGCTAGCGTACTGTTTACGGATCCAGACCTTACAGGATGGCATTGTCTACGGTAAAATATAGCCAGCGAATACAATGGAAGCGTGAAATCCTAATGGCACATTTTTCTAATGCCATAACAGCATCCCGCGCAGTGTTTTGGGGCCGTTCACCTTGTGATTCGTCTAGTGGAAACAGGTCAGACCACTTCATTGTGTGAGCGATGTCAGGAAGTGCCGTAAAGACGTCACTTTAGGTAACAGCTGGCGTGGCTAACGCTCCTACTTCCGGTCTAAGTAAAGGACCATTTATACCAGGAACACGAAGCTTACGGAGACGGAGACGCAAAGTGAAAAGTGTGTATAGTGGTTAGATCTGGGATCAAAGTGTGGGTGATGTGTGTGTTTGGTGGGAAAGAGGAAGTATGCGAAAGGCAAATAGGAAAATGAATGCGGGTTCCGTTCAACAAAGCACTTAGCGCACTTCCTTTTTTAACAGGAAAAAACTTTAAATGCAGATAAATGAATAGATACATCACATCACACCAGCCTTTACTTTGAGGCCAAAGATCACTTCCATAAATCCTGTCGCGCTCAGGCCATCGCCCGGCCATCAGTTCGTTCCTGACCCAGGCTGTCAGTTTGGACCTACCACTCGCTCTCAGCACTCCTTGCCTCTCAATCGACTCAAACTGCCCAATAGAATTGTAAACACCGGCGCAATGGGCCATTGCCAGCTGCGTCGGGTGATTGAAGCAGATGGAAACATGCGTGTCGCTCAGCGTTTGAGACGAGACGATAGAAGTAGGGGTCAAGATGAGCTCAGAAGTACGAGAAGGTCCGCTGACCAGTCATAGGGTCAGTGCGTCAGATCTTCGGGTCACTGTGTCAGGTCACAGGGCCAGCGCGGTTGACCATCAGTTCAACGTGTCACATGTCAGGGCCAAGTAAAGCTGCACAATACACCGTGTCGTGGTATATGCAGCTTTACTTGGCCCTAACATATTTATTGCTGCCAATAGAGCACTTCTGACCACTGTGTTACCAACATGTTGCTTGCTTGGCCACAGCGCGTGTATGTATGTATGTATGTATGTATGTATTGACACCAAAAGCCTTCCACATATGGCGTGGCGATTACGGCTTACGGCTTTAATAAGTCCCAGTCATATCTGCCTCTCAAGTTTCCTACGACTTTCAATTGGCACCCAAAGTCAAACTCGTGCCTACACCGGAACACCGGAATGGGTGCCACTGTACGGTGACACCGACACCACCCATGCCCACCTGTCATCATCCGTCATCCTGACAATACCTGTCATCACCTGTCACCATTCCGCTACCTCACATCTGTCAACTCTAACCTACCATGACCCGCCAAACCGTTTGTGACCTGTCCACCAGGCGTGACGGCGGGCCCTCTTCAATAAACGGTCCGGTCCACACTAAACGGTCCGGTCCACGATGTGACAAACGGTTTGGTCTCGGTCCGATCCGGTCCGGTTCGTACTAACGGCCGGGGCAGTTCCGCGGTCCATCGCTCTCAGGGTACTTTAGACCAATCAAGACCGTAAACGGGAGATGAGCGAGCGAGAGATTCGAGTTCGGAGGCTCGTAAAGATCTAAACAAAACGGTACAGTAAGGTTTATGGCAGAATCTTTATAACTCCTCTCTTTCCAATTCCATCAGTCTCTCTGTGCTTCTGCCTCTGTCTTTATTATCTACTCCTCCTCTCTCTCCCTATTCTCCCCTTTCTTTCCTTCTCTCTCTCTCTCCTCTCTCTCTCTCTCTCTCTCTCTCTCTCTCTCTCTCTCTCTCTCTCTCTCTCTCTCTCTCTCTCTCTCTCTCTCTGACACTTCCTCTCTTTTTCTATATCTCTGTCTCTTCCTATCTCTCTCTACCTTTACCTCTCTATCCTAGTTATTATACCTTGTCCAGCAGTCTGATCAAATTTCACAGCCTTGGACCCTGGGTACAGGCGACAGTCAGCAGCTGGATGACAGGCTGTTATAAATATCACGTAACGGGTCACTGGCCGCATCTGCACCGCACGCCACTCCGCTCGAGCGTGACGGATGCACGGGTGTGTCACGGATTCATCGCGTTCGTCACGGACGTAAACATTTCGCTGTGTAACAACTGTGGGCGTGTGACAAACAGCAAACATCCACGCGAACAGCTATTCCAAGTGGAGTTGAAGCTTTATGAGGACTATTGCAAGAAGCGCACTGTAAGAGGAGCATGATTAACGGAACTAAGTGTATGCAGCCCTGGCAAGAAATAACACTGCAACAATATTATCCAATATCAGCTAATTACGTGATGCTTAAAAGCAGGAGTGTCCATAATTCTAAAGCCAGTATAAAGCCTATGATGCATTGCTTCTCTTCCTGTCAGTTTTCTCGAGAGCAAACGCATCACGCGACTGCAAAACACCTTGAAACCACGTGAACTTTTATCATGGCAGTCATGCAATCGAGATCAACAGAGCAAATCCTCTCCGTAGACGGGGAAAACACTGCAATCAGCAGGCTCCCACTCCCTAAACTGCACGTGGGCTTATGGTTCACGAGTCTGAATCGCTCGCTACGACTCGAGGAATGTTTGACACCGCTTGGACCAAGGCTTGGACCACGCGTGGCCTTGCAAGTCACCGGTGCAGCGAGGAAAACTAAGAGCAATAGGGTGTCTTTTCGGCCAGAACGGTTTCAAGAGCTAGACACGACTAGTCAATGGTCATTTGACTCACGATTTACCTTTTTAGTGCCAGTTGAAGCAGCTGATGTTGTTTTCCACTACCGTAACAAAACAAGTATATAAATCTGGCATGAGATTTAGATGAAATATGGCAGAGTAGTACAGGTTTAGAACGAGAGAAACTGTATGAGACAGGAGAGAAAGGCTGGGAGACTGTTTTGTGAAGAGTTGAGCTGCCACTGCTTGAGAAATATGAACGACTGACTTATCTAAACTCAGGACGCTGCGTTTCAGACTGGGTGACGTGACCGAGGGGGGGGGGGGGGGTCCAGCACTCAACAGGTTGAAGTAGAACAGGCATAAGACAAATACTACGATAATGTTCCGCAGGATTTGCCACATCATAGCAGCAGGACAATTTTCAAATGGCGAGATCCAAATATAATTTTTTGGAATGTTCAATTTATAATTTTACCCATTGCTCCTAAATGAAAAATCTCCAGACTTAACATTCGAAGGTATTTGTCTCGGTCTCGACTGTCGGAGCTGTTCTGATTTTAATAGGTTTGTGCAATATACAGCTATGTCCCAGTTTCACCGTTCACTTATGATGTTTCAACACGATTCTTCTCCAAAAGACCATCATACTTCATGAAGCTCCTGAATACCCAATTTACGCAGACAGTAGCCCTCTCCACTGTCTGTAACTAGCCAAAACCTGAATTAGCGACCTCTGTTCGGCTCAGAGAAGAACAAAGCGGGCCGACTGGGCCTTCCATGACCGAGATCCGTCAGCCACTGCCGCCGGCTCGTCTCCACCAGAACCCCGGGCCAATTACACTTTATAATGACGCCACCACCCCCATTATCGATTGGCGGCGAGCCATATGAGACGATATCGGCGCACCGTAGACGATATCGGCGCACCAGAGACGTCCAGCGGCGCGCCAGATCACGCTCATCGATCGGATACGATTCTGGCGCGGCGGGGAGCCGTGATCGTCGCGCCGTGATGGTCGAGGTGGCGCGTGTGACCTCATTATGGCGCACATCAATCATGTGATTGGAGTTGGCAAGGTTTTCGGAAGGTGGGGAGTAGCTGAATGAAATGGGGCAATATCGACGCGCTTGGTAATTTATGCCACCATTCAGCACCTTGAAAGTGTAAATTTGGAGCATCGATGCTGTCAAATAACTTCAAAGCCAAATTAGTTCCGCAGATTACATAGCAAAGGCGCTTGTAAAAATAGCATTTTGTTTTGCATAACCACTGTGCCTTTACCCGATAAACTATGTTTTGCAATCTACACAACACAGCAATACAACATAATCCAGCATTGAAAGTTTGATAATTTTTAAAAGTTGAATTATTTTTAGTTGTTTAGTTTAGCTGTTTACTCACTTTAGTTTTATTATCATCCACGCTAACGTTCATCTCATAGCGCGCTCCTGCGCCTGACCAAAGCGACTGTGCGCTCATAAGCACGCCTCGTCTCTCCCAGCGCACACAGGGCCAATTGGCTGTCGACACGTGATAAATCGGCGAACCAAACTCCTAATGTGGCGAGCCGCTTTAGGTTCCAGGCGCCACGTTATTGATATCACAACAGGAGGCCACTC